CATTCCTGCAATATGAATCTGTAGGTATGTCAGAAATATCTGATGGAAAAGACAGTGGACGTAAAATTATAATTTTAATACCCTTGATGTCATGATGATAGGCATGGGTGAATTTTAAGTGCTTAAGATCACTAGGTTTTTTTAATAATCATGTTTGTACAGATCTTGTTTATGTGTCAAGGTTATAGTTTCATATTGAAGCTTGTAATAAATGTTTTAGTATTGAGAAGAGCTCAGAATTGGCTGGCATTCTTTTTCTGTGGCTTCCAGTGTCACTTCAAATGCGATATTCCAAATAGCACCATTGGCTGCAGGCACCCTGCAGGCCAGCGTTCTCCTTCCCTCCCCAATTTTATTCAGTATAAGCATGTTCAGAAGCAAGTAACTTTGCTACTTTTCAGCTCCAGGTACACAGCCATGAGGGTTGGTACTGCTATGAACGTGGGTTAACAAACCTAAATAGAATTACAAATTTGTTTTGTCCTGTCTAATTTTCTGTGAGGGTTGTGAAAAGAGTGCTTTGCCCTAGAAACTGTGGAAGTAGATACCTGCAAGCAGGGTGCTTCACTTTTATGCAGTTGCAGAACTTCATGATTTTGGCCCAAATTTGCGAGTGCCTTTTTTTTTTTTTTTTTTTTTGTTAAAGGAAGATCCACTGCATCTGAACTGTTACCACTTGGTACCACAGTAGGCAGTACATTAGAAGAATTCCAATAGAAAATGTCCAGCAAGATTTCAAAGTGTACAGCAATTCAACTAGCATTTCTTTGTCTGCATATTTATGAAACATCTAAAATGTATAAGTGGGTTACAGCATGAATAGAGTAAGAGGAAAGCTGCATTCAATTCAAAATTAAATGCACAACAGTCTTGCCACCCCCACTTCAATAGGCATAAGACTAGTGATACCTTAAAATTCTAATTTGAGTGTAAACCTTTAGCACTGTAGGAACTTAAGAAATCATTCTGCCTAACTTTCAGGTACTCTTTCACCAAACAGAATCTTGCAATTGGTGTTTACTTAGGGATAGAAAAACAACTTGATGTGCAGAACAGTCCAAAGCAAATGGGCTTATTTTTGGATTGAGTGAGTTTGAGGAATCAGTGTAGTTCAACTTCATGTGTAGGAAGGATTTTAACTCTCTTCTCAGTTGGTGTTCCTAGAATTATCCCAGGAAAAAGGCTAAGCCTTTTCTGAAAATTACTTGCTATCCTCTGAAATATTCATGGTAGGCTCTTATAGCCCTGGGTCATGTCACATATCTTTGTTAGTGGATTAAAAAAATTACCTCATTACCTGTCAGTCATTGGACAGATGTAGGGTTTATTTACAGTATGCAAAATAAGAAGTGTACCCTTTGAGTAACAGTAGGTGATGGTAGGTAAGTAAAAGCTCAAAAAGGACAGGATTTTCCTTTTGACTACATTGTTAACAAGTAGTTCTTTAGTAGGCAAAAAAACAAACGAGGAAAGAGCATGTTTTGTGAGAGGGGAAAAAAAAAAATCAAAGCTTTTTGAATAGGTAAATCAAAGAATTATTTGAAGTGTTAAGGTGACTAGGGTCAAAGAGCACCATAGCTCAATTAGCATGAAGCTGGGGATGCTATCTGAACCCTTCACAACATTTTATACTGAATTCTCAGCTCAGTTTAGCACCCCCTAATCACTTAAATGCTCCCAAGGAACTCCTAGGCTTTCTGAATAGTTCAACTATACACTTGTAGATCCAGTGTGTGCAGCTGTGAAATTTGGTGAATAATGGTAGTGCAAAAATCAATGAAAGAAGAGACAAAAATATAAGGTTTTGTGTGTATATATATATAATTTAAAACTATTCTGTACCAGTACAATATATTAATTTTACAAATGTAAAATTCATCAGCTGTTAAAGCATTTGCAAAACCACATCCTATTGTAACTTTATTGCACAGTATCTATGAAAATATTAATTTTTAAATTAGAAAACAAATGTTCCAATATAGAAGAGACAATCTGATTGAAAGACAATAAGAAAGTAAGTCTACTCTGAAAATAACAGTTTCACAGGATACCAAGCTTAACAGGTGCATCTATAGGCCCAATCTACAAAATAGGATTATAGCATCCAGTACTGGCTATAAAACAATTCTTTCACTGTACCTTAGTTATAGATCCAAATGTAGGCCGGGCTAATTTCATATGAAGCACTGAGGCAATTCTAGTGTTGACATTTTTGAATACCTTGTGTACCACACTACTTCCAGGTAGGTTCTGACATCTACTTACTGAATCAACTTGAAATTTAACATTGCACAGGCATTTTGCAGAAATACAGTCTTTGATACAATGTAAGGTTGTTTTTTTCCAACCTTATCACTACTGAACTTTACCAGTGTAACACCTGTAAATACAAAACACCAAGAATAGAAGTTAAATTTATTCTTCACAAAAGCAGTTATAAACTTTAATTAGAAAATGTCAAGTGACGGTTTTTTGGCCTGTACTGATCTCCATTAGGAAGTTAGGTGTACCTCTTAAATGTAGTGTAAGCAGCAAAATATATATATATATAATATATATATATGTGCTCAGTTTGATGATATATGATGATATACTAACACTAATTGTAAAATGTTAATATGCTCCTGGGTCTAAATAATCACAGTTACTATTTACAATAAAGCTTGGTAGAAAATCCAGTTTACCACAGAGGGAATTATATAAGCTAAAGCTGTCATATATTGACCAGTTTTGTGTACAATCATCTTATCTCTACTGTAACAATCTAAAGAATTTTATCAGCTGAAAGTAGGAAATGGTGTGGATCATGAAGTACATCAAAACCTTCTCCCTACTAAGCCAATTAAAATTAAGTCTAATATATACCAACCACATTTTCTGAAGTTATTTTGTGTACTTATGTCCTGCATAAGCCAAGTCACTATGACATTACACATCTAACCAAATTTTTATTTTATTAGTGGTTATGAGGTTGCAATTTGCAGGTAAAATATTTCTCAAAACTCCAAATCAATTGAAAAACTTGCATCTATCAAAGATTGCAGCAGTTCTTTCTCAGAAGTGGCTCCTTTTCTCTCATAGCTTCTCAACCAGCTGCTTCTTTTAAAAAATAGTATCTTATTAAAAAAAAAAAAAACTTACAATGAAACAAAATTTCAGAGCCCAACGCCCAACTGTTGTTTTTCCCTTACTGTTTGTTTTGTTTTTAAACTAGGTAGGAAAAAAAACCACCCTTTTTCAAACAGATACTGCATTAGGTAAGCTATAACATTCACATTCATTGTCTAGGAATTTTCTTCATATTCCCAAACATGTGCGATTTCCCACATGTTTTGAGGCTGTAGCTGATAAACTGATGAACATACTGTAACGGGCACACAAAAGAAATTTTCAATAATTTTAAATACATTATAAAGCATTTTAATAAAATAATTTTTGTAACTTCAATATAATACATGTTTGCAAAACTAAAAGGGTTTTTTAAAAGTGCTAATTATTAAACAGAAGTTTCTTGAAAACTTGAAGTCCCACAGCTCAGAGATGTAACGGCTTCTCTTGCCAATAAAGTAGGCACACTGATTGGTTGTAAAAAAGAGTGTCACTTGTCAATTAATCCAGCTTCTTTAATTTTTGTGTAGAAGAATTTCTCCAGTATATTGGCACATTTGTAGTATTCACTTTCAGGGGGGTTGTACTCTCTGCAATTTGTAAAGACTCGCTGCAAGTCTGCCATGAATAATTTCTTAGACACGTAGTACCTATTCTTGAGTCGTTCACTCATTGTTTTGAGATCTGTACAGGAAAAAAATAGATTAGCACTGTTTGATTCAAAATATTTTGTGTATGTAATATCCCTTTATATTACTTTGCCATTTAAAAGGAACTGATGGCAAAGCTAGGATTTGGAATTATTAATTGCCTTAATCTAAGGCTTGATCCTGATACAAGTTTTCCCACGGTTTTACAAGGTAACTTCAACAGCATCAGTTGAGCCTCTAGAACTAAGCAATGTTTTGCTATAAGAATGATTTTATAGAGGTGTGTGTTTGTTTAAGATTAAAGCATCACTTTTCTGTTCTCACACTTTGTGTTTTCTGTGGGTATTGTGTTTTCTGTGGGTATTGTGTGTCCTTAATTGCTGTGTGAGTATGTGAGACAAAGCTGTTGTGAACCCTGCTGGAAGGGGCCTTAGCAGTGCCTAAGTAAAGAATTGAGATGACTTCGCAAAACATGTTAACTAACATACTTGCCTCAGTGCAAACACAGCAGACATGTCTATACTGCAAGCACTACTTACGACTTTGAAGAGGAGATTTCGTTTTTTTTTCACAATCTACCATACATTTAGTTATAGCTTCAAAGTTATAGTTATGTATCCCTTTCTGAAAGCAACTTGAGAATTGATCTCTCCCACCTTCATAGTACAATACAAGCTACTACTGCTTCTACTGCTTACAAAACATTCTTTAAAAAATGTTTTCCTTGATACTAAAATCAGAGTCATCCATAAAATACATAAATCACCTCAGCGTTCTCCACATAGTCCATTTTCTGGTAGTTCTTACTAGGCATTTTGAAACTTGGTCTACACTATATGGGCTAGGAATGAGTACAGGAATTCGAAAGTGGAAGGTGTGCTGGATGCCTTGGCATTTCTCATCTCAGATTCTCTAACAGCTATTTCATAGCAGTATTTGAGCCCAGGCTTCAGTACCACCTTTGTGAATCGTAACAGAAGTATCTAAAATAGAAAGTCTTAGTGCCAGCAAGCACTGTTAGCAAAGCAGAGGCTAAAGGTCTCCACAGCAAAGAAGTTAAATCTCAGAATATAGTACAGTTTCAAAAGTGATATTTCTATAAAATTAGAATGATAGTTGCTTTATCTCCTACAAGGTCTTTTTCTTTTTTTTCTTTTTCTTTTCTTTTTTTAAGATTTGATTTTGGAAAAATAGAGAAAAGCACTATCAACATGACAACAGGGAATTATTTAAGAAAGAAAAAATCGTTAAGTTTGCTGGATATTCTCAAATACCTCTTCCAGTGATATATAATTTGCTATTCACGAGTGTTGCACAACATTTTGCAAAAGCAAGGGCAGTCTAAATTTTTTTCCCCCCCCCAGGTTAGTAACAAGCCAAAAATTTTCAGTTGATACTTGTTTATTGTAATTCTGTAACCTGGTGCAGTAAATTTGTTTACCGCTTTGCAGCTGAAGACTTATTGCTCCTGGTAGCACTTTGAGAAAAAAAATTTCTTGAGCTCCTCCCTCATTTTCTATTAGGACAGATTCTAACTGACTTCTGCAGAATGTATTCTAGTATGCCATATTGCTAACAGATTTGTCTTAAGTAAGAGTTGATTAATAAGCCTCAATTCTAATAGAGTAAAATATGTAGTTTAAACAGAAGTTCTTTACTTGCCTATACAGTTAGTATACAGTGAGGCCTCTTCTAATTAGAACCAATAGTGTTTATGGAGATTGAGGTTTTATAGCGATAGACAGTCCCCGAGCTAGGATTTCAAGTATCTAAGCAAAACATGAATAGCAAACATCTGTTTGGGAAAGTGTGAAAATGCTTAGATACTAAAATTTCCAGATTAATCTGCTTTCTTTTGCTAAATGTTCCATGTACATCGCAAGAAAAAAATTAACACTGAACACCTGAGCAGATTCATAAACCACATGCACCTTTTCAGGTTCTTATCAGATTGCTTCATTCCATCTCTACAAGAACTGTATGGAACCATTTTTGTACTTGGCCTCAAAAGCATTTCTATTTAGCTTTTGAATAAAGATCATCAAGGTACTAGCGTTTGGGAAATAATGCAAAAGAATAATGTAAAATTATGGTTAATGGCTTAACAGTACCAGAGCCAATTTGAGTGCATGTAAGCATAATAGAGAAATAACACTTTAATATGAAAACACCACATTAAAACAAAGGTTCTTCACCTTTCAGTTTGCAGGCCCCTTTTCTTAGTTACAGAGCTTTGGAAGCATTCCCTGGAATCCCAAGAACCAAAATGAAAAACCGTATATCAGAACTCCAAATCTGAGCAGAATTTAGGGATTATTTCTGGGCTTTTAATGATGTAGTTGTCGCTGAATGAGATTTCTACTTTAGTTTCATCCCCTTTCACTCACTTTACACAGAACCAGAAGCTCAAAGTCACCAAAGTTAGATGCAATGTGAATAACCAACTGCTGAGAGTTAAATCTTCTGAGCGGGAACAGTTAAGCCTTATCAGCTGAAAAACCTGTATTCAATAGGTTTATTCAGAAAGTCCATGTATGGACATTTAAATCAGATTACGAGTAATTCATTTAAGTAGATGCCTTACCATCATCATACACAACACCAACTGGCATTCCTAAATCATCATAAAGGGGCTTGCTGCAAGGGACTGCACTGATGTAGTTAAATGAGCGGAACTGGTATGTGCCAAAAAAGTTAGAGCCTCGTGAAATAGTTGCATCAAGTTTGTGTGTAAATCATACAATGCTTTTCATTGTTTGAGTGTCTAGCTAAACATGTGCTTCCCTTAAAATTGTCTGAATCCATTTCTTGAGGAAGATGTTTATATGACAAAACTATATGTTTTACCATAATACGCTTGTGTGATGAAGCCTTATAGCACACTGTTTGTTACATTTGTAAGGAAGAAACTCTGGATGAGATTCAGCTCCCATTAAGCCTCAAATTTAGGTATGAACTGCATGTCCCAAGTCTAATCATAGTATGGAATCTAGAGAGCTGCTTGGCTCACCATAAAGCAGTCACTGTCTGGCTGGTCGCTTAAATCACTCTCCACTGACTACAGTGAGAGTTTGGCTCCATCTCCCACTTAATCATACAGCTTTCATATCACAGACAAACAAGGGGAAAAAAAATAGCACTTCTGAAAATAAGCAGCTACAAGAGCACTTAACAAAACAGGAAGAAAAAAAAAACCACTACATACATGAGAAGTGACCTTAGGAGGTAGTCAAAAAACTTACAGCCATACCTCTCAAACAACCTACAATTCAGTCTGTACAGAAACGTAAAGACAACAGTTAGGTTTTGTATTCCATAGCACAAGAAAAGAAACAATGCTGTTTCTTTTTAATTGAAATTACATCAGGGATTTTGGTACAACATCAGTATGCTGGTAATAAGAGCAGAAAGAAAGCAGCAGCTGATCATGAATCAAAAGGTGGGTTAGTTGTGCAGGGTTCCTTAGTTGAAAAAACAAAGGAAAATCAAAACAAAGACCTCAGCTTAATCCTAAAATGAGAGCTGCTTCTACCCCCTGCTTCCCTCCCTTGCAACTTTGGGCAAGAAAAGGACAGACAATATTTCTACTTTGGGCTTGCCAACCCAGGCAGCAAGCTCTTCTTAATACACTAAAAGGTGTATTCAGATTAAACAGCAATCTAGTCTCTGCTCAGAAGAACAGAAAAGGACTACTTTGCCAAGCAGTGGCACAAAACATTCTTTTTCTTCATTGGTAGAGAATACATTTGCATCAGGGATACAGGAAGCTTGACTACTGTGTTTGTGAAGTACACATCTATCTGCTCCTTGGAAATGATTAGTTGAATATAACTGTTAAGACAAATCCGAAGGCACAATCAAGGACTCTACACACACTTTCCTTCTCTGAGAAACGGACTGATAATAATCTGCACTGAACTTGAATTTCATTCTCTAGTAACATTAAAAAAACAGAAACTGTAATCAGAAAGATGGGGATGAGTATTATACAAATAATGAAGAAATACCAGGATTCAGTTTTAAGTCTGTTGCAATACAAATCGAAACCAGCATCTATTTAGGACAGCACTGAATCATCATATAAATTATATGACACAGCAGTCAAAAGCAAAGAAAAATGTTATTAGCATTTGTGCACCTCCCTTTGCAAGTAATACTGCATAAGCAATAGCTGTATGGTTAAAAAAAAAAGAGATACAGACACCTTTGCCAGATCCAAAATACAAAGGTTTAAGAATCTGTTTTACAACTTTCAATCAGTTGCATGAAGCACGTTGCTAAACTTCATTTGAAGTGAACTCTACATTAAGTGTTAATTAGAATACTCTGGTGCTTTTGAAAAGGCTTTGTTTATGTGATTTAGAAAGCTTAAATCCCCTTTCAAAGCAATTCAAACACTCAGGTGTTCCTGAAAGTTTGCCTCAAGATTTTTTAACGTATCAGTAGGCTCTACAATAACCAGTTACCACACTTGGGGAACATATCCTTACAGGTCACATAAACCAGCTCAGTCCTCAAAGTTTGTCTGTTGTTTAAGAGCTTGCTAGGATTCTTTAGGCTATACTAAGGTTTCATATGCATATAGTATCATAGATGCTTCACAAAGGTCACAAAATAGGCATACATTTCAAACAACAGTATACGTTTGGCACTTCAGATCTGCAAGAAATATACCTTTTAACATACGAAACAGATTGCTATGTCTGCTAAGTCTCCAGCTATAAAGATTTTTAAACTCTATACTTAAAAAATGTTAATGTCATTACCCATGGGAAACCTTATAACTTCATAATATCCAGGAGCTTCTGTTCTCTTCACAGGTTCCATGAAGGGCCAAGCGCTTTGATGGCTCTTTGGTAAAGAAAAAAGTAAGGTATCTAATATGGAAACTCTATATTGTAAATCATTTAAAAATCTTTACAGATGGTAAACTAGAACTAGCACTCACCTTCACCTGCTGCAGGATGGTTTTTAATGTGCTGTAAAGCTGATCTGGATCCTTGGGTTCTTTACTTGAAAGAAAATATTAGTACAAAAAGATTAGTTTGAAACTTCATTACTATAGTGTGCCCCTTACCTAAAAACAATTCCAACAATTCAAGCATTTTATGAAAATAAAACAAAACAATGCTTAAAAGCTCATCCACTGCAGATTATTTATCTGTGTTTTCCAATGGATGGAAGGAAATCGCAAATGACTTTTCTCAAAGTCATTTGAAGACATTTCTCAAAGTCAAAAGTTTAAAGACTTTTCTCAAAGGATTCTCAAAATTGCTTTATCACTTTTTTTGTGCAGTACTTACCCTCTCTCTTTTCCACTTGGTTTCCAGCCAGTCTCCCCTGTACACCAAAAACATTACAGATTACATGAGAGCTACAGAAGATCAAATGTTAACAGAGTTATTGCAACTCTAAAAAGATAAGCCATTTCAGCACTGCCACAGAATAAAATTAGTTTGTTTTAATAAATCCTAATGAAAGCCACAGCAACCTAGTTTCCAGGCCCATTTCATTTCCTACATGACCCTTTCTCCAGACTACTGCAAGAAATTCTAAAGTATTCCTACAGGGGAAACACTACATTTTTAAAAATAATTCAATACATATTTTATCACAACTTTGTAAAGATAAGTGATGTCAAAGTTATCTTATATGTTTCCCTAAGGACATAGAATAAATTGCAGAAGAGAGAGCTGGAAAAAAAAAAAAAAAGATTACAGTTAAAATTTAATTCTGTTTTGTCCTATTCCAAATAGGTCCATATTTAGTACAGAATTCATCCTTGAACAGGAGTTCAGTGCATAACAGTGCCAGAGGGAAATTGCTGACTATATTGTGAGACAAAAAAAGAGGCATCACATGTAAGTAAAATTAAACATGTACATAAGAAAGCAACAGCCTGGGATGCCTTGGGGAAGGTCTTGAAGACATTAATTATGGCAGAAATGGAACAATCTTCACAGAAATGAAATTAACAGACCAAAACAATTATATCTTATCAAAAAGAAATACGCAGCTACATCAGCATTTCTAGCCTTGAACCTTTCTTGGGCTGTTCTACTTTTGTTCTACATTAAAATAGGTTGATACATACTAATTCCAGGAATGCTTTCTATAGGAATCTGTCGTACTCCATCTTTGAAGCAAGAAAGGCCAGGATAGACTTTTCGAATCTGAGCTTGTTTCCTTTCTATCAACTTTTTAATGATCTGTAATAACGAAGCACAGAATGAAAAAAGAGTTTGAGAGGCAAGACATAGAGTTGATTTGCTAAAAGGTGAACCACAGAGAATTAATACAAAAATGCGATGAACAAAAACACGCTAGCATCCTGATCTTATGGTCCTTATACACCCAAGGCTCGCACTAGAGCTGATGAGTAACAGTGGTGAGCCACCTGGCCAAACACTGATTCTGGAGACAAGGCTAGCAGAAAGCATAAAACCTCCTGATCTGTGCTCTGGGAATCAAATGGGCAATTCTAATGCACACTCCAAAGGAGTATATATTTCTTCTCAAAGAAGATACAATAGCAATCATAGATCACTGTATAATAATAGCTTTCTTTCTAATATTGGTAGACACGGGATCTCTGGAGGACAAAGGTACTTTACCACCAACTGGGATGTTTTTGATTCCTTTGGAACAATACAGGGGAGTCCACCAAATGAGAGAGGGAAGAACGCAAAATAGCACGTGCTGATAAAGCTGCTCCAGAGCCACGACCTTCAAAACTAACTTAAGTTCCTAAATTTTCAGAAGTGACACACCAATGGCTTGGGCCTAGAACTGTATTGCTGCAGCTGAGCATGCCTCAGATGAACCTCTGTAACAGACTAACACGTAGTATGAAGAGACAAGTCTGGTTTTTAACCCCACAACATTCCTTCTCCAAGGGAAACGTGACAGGCCCAGTAACAGGCTGGGATCTGAAGAATAACTCAACCTAACCAAGCAGAAAGGAGAGGGAAAAACGACAACCTGTGCTATATGGACATTACTGACCAATACTTTCCTGATGAGTGAAAGAAAGACGTTTTTGTAAACAAAAAAAAAAATGCACAGTCCTCAAATAGTTTTTCTTTCTGCAGCATGGGTCATATCGTTCTATTAGAAGGAAAATGATTGTTTCATAAAGAGGCTTTTTAAAATAAATAAAAGATAGTGAGACTTGATGAACCTCGAAAGAACAAGCTACCCTTGTAATTTCTATTTATTTCAGTACTCAGAAGGGTGTTCAAACACAGCAGGAAATTTCTTAATTATTATTCTGCTAATAAACTACATTCTTTAAATGGAAAATTATGGTAGACTAAATAAAGGACATACCATATTAACCTGAAAAAACGACAACCTCAAATTTAAGACAACGCTTGATTTTTGCATTACTTGCACAAATAAATAAATAAAATCTTTCCTTCAGGTAAGCATAGAATATGTGGTACAAACACTCTATTCAAAAGTCACCCTTAATGAATGCAACAGTGACTGGTGGCAGAGGGAGGAGAGACTTCAGAAAGCTGCAGAGACAATCAAAAAATCTCACAAAATTTTCCTTAGTTATCATCTAAAAGGAATACAGTCAGTTAGTAAATACTGCTCAAAATACCAGTGCTTTGCAGCATTGCTGCTATGGTAAATCCAAAAAGGTAGAATTTAATCTTTTAGCTGTAAAAGTTATGGCCCTGGGCCTCGAATAGAAGAACTACTTTAATTAATAAAAATATACCATCCAATGTTTTAAGCACCAAAGCAGAGAGATAATCTAACAGTGACTGAATCGTTTTAAAACTAAGAAATTATCTTAAATGTGTGGCTTTGGAAATGTTCATTGATGATATTGTTCAGTGCTTCATTTCAGCTTTTACCTCTTTTTGCTTTTTAATGAAAAAAAAGTAGGGAATCCTTGGATTTAATTCACATCCCATTAATGTGGCACCCTCATAATCCTTGATGTAGCCAACATATTTTGCTTTTGGTACTTTAATATCTTTGGAAAAACCCTGTAGAAAAAATAAACATAATTTTTCATGATGCCATTTTCTTTTTACATTGGTTTGAAATGAAAAACTAGGATGACTTAAAACCAAATTCATCGTAACATTAAAATACAGACAATATGATGGAAAAAGTTAAAAACCATGGTTTACAGTGTTGCAAGCCATGCAACATGGAATCACTTGATAGAATAGTTAATTTCTTACATATATAGGAAGGGCAGGGGGAGAAAGTAAAGAGATGAAGAAAAAGATTTTTACTCCAGACAAATGTACTGGAATTTTCCAATAATTTTATATTTTAAAAGATGGCGGTCCTGTAGCTATCAGTTAAGGAGAGCCTCTGTTGAAGTCAGTGAGACCTTTGTCCAAACATTACAGTAATATCAGAGTCAGAAAGAACAATGAAATTTTTTACTTTTGTATTTCAAGTGAAAAAAATAAGATACCAGACCCTAAGAAAACTTCCAAGGGTTATATTACAGTCTTGTATAGTTCAAAAGTTAAATGAAAAAAAGAATAAAACAAAGGTATTAACTAAGACCAAAAAAAAAAAAAGAAAAAGCAGCTCACTCTCTGACTGCATTTTATTCTTTCGCTGTAGTGGTATCTATGAGACTTCAGTCAAAATCAGTAGCCCAGCCTACTTCTGCCTTACAATTTACAATCAAAGGCTTCATTTCTGCAACCAAATGTACATAGAAACTGAGCAACTTCCAAATTGAGGAAGGGATATGCTAGAGGTGAAAAGGGTCTGCCTGCACTGATTTCATGAATGGTTGAGGTTGGAAGGGACCTCTGGAGATCATCTAGTCCAACCTCCCTGCTCAAGCAGGGTCACCTAGAGCATATTGCCCAGGATCACATCCAGAAGGGTTTTGAATATCTCCAGCGAAGAAGACTCCACAACCCCTCTGGACAACCTGTTCCAATGCTCTGTCACCCTCACAGTCAAGAAGTTTTTCCTCAGGTTCAGATGGAACTTCCTGTGGTTCAGTTTGTGCCCGTTGCCTCTTGTCCTGTCACTCGGCACCACAGAGAAAAGACTGGCCTCATCCTCTCGACACCCCTGCCTTCAGATACTTGTAAACATTGAGGAGATCCCCTCTCAGTCTTCTCTGATCTGAGAGAAGAAAACAAGCCTGTCTTTTATTTATTTTGAATGGGTGAAGAATGAGTTATATCAGTTATTTTCATAGAATCACAGAGTAGTTGAGGCTGGAAGAGACCTCCAGAGGTCATCTAGTCCCACATGCTGTTCAGAGTAGGTCTTATCACATCAGGTTGCTCCAGGCTGTGTTCAGCCCAGTCTTGAGCACTTCTCAAGGACACAGATTCCACAACTTCTCCAGGCAATGTCTTCCAGTATTTGACCACCCTCATGGTTAAAAAAAAAAAAAAAAAAAAAAAAAAAATTTCCCTATACCTAACTGGAATTTCACACGATCCAACTCGTGTCCATCGCGTCTAGTTCTACTGCTGTACACCCCTGAAAAGAGTCTGGCTCTATCTTCACTGTATCTTCCAACTGGGTAGCTGATATCTATTGTATCTATTGAATCTATTAAAAAGATTAGAAAAATCTTTCTTGAACTTGCTCCTCGGGATTCAAATCAGGAGCAGCTGTGAGCACAAGATAGGTAAGTTCTAGTCTGTCACCAGAATGTCTGGTCCAACCTTACACTTCTTCCAGAATCAGTGTAGGAAGTGAATGAAAAAAGTCCAGAGGCAGCCTAGTCATAATTTACTGTGTTGTGAAGACTTGACAGATTATAGGCTATACAATACACTTATATTCATAAGATTCCCTCACACTAGGTTAGCATAGAGCATGTTTTGTAGGTTAAAAAAAAAAATACATCTTACACACAAAATCACAATATGCATTTTATCCAACTTCTTCAGCGTGTCAAGTTGTTTAGCTCATCATTACTACATGTTTACTTCTTGCACCAAGTTATTTCTTAGATTGACTTACTTGTTTTTTGAAGTAGCCAATAGCATATTCATCTGCATATGTGAGAAAGTTGAGAATGTTGTGTTTAATGTGGTATTCCTTCAGATGATTCATTAGATGAGTTCCATAACCCTGTGCGAAATGCATGAGGAAAAAGCTATTATGAAACCTTTTGGGTTTGTACATATTAGAAGCTGTGGACAGAGGAATATTACATATTACAGGGATTTAAAAACATAGACTTTCCTCTAAATCCTATCGTAAAGATCTTGTGGTAACTAACTTAGTGAGGTGCCCAAGATCAAGCTGTTTTCAGCCTTTGAAGGGTATCTTTATTATCCATTCGGGAACACAGCACATCACAGCTTCTAATGTCTGACTCCCTGTTAATCTAAAAGGGACCACAACCTGGACTCTCTCTATGGGTAAAATGCAGTCTAAAGAGGTACATTGTCCTGAAAGTTGTACTTCAAGGTAAACATAGTTTTTCCTCTTTTAAGTTAAATATCAACTATTTATGGTAACATCTCACTATCAACAAAACTATATATGTTGTAATAATAGGGCATTCTTCTTAGCCATATCATTTCAAAATTGCAGTGCAGTGGGAATGCCAGAACAGTTGCTTTTAGAAGAACCACAGTCTGAGATGAGGCCTCTATCTTACCAACCTCTTTACACCTGCAACAGAAATAGCCTCTACCTCAAAGATGTTATAATCTTATAAGGCATAAAAGGGAATACTGAAACAGTTATTACCATAATTAGAAGCAGAAAATTATCGTGTCCACAATCAAATAAATAGCTATACCTTCTGACTGCACACAGGAATAATTTCCATTTTCATTTTGTCCTAAGATAAATAAAAAGTTCCACTTATTCACATTTCCAAGTAAGCTATCTTTCTCCCCTTCTGCTTCAAGATGCAGAAATGTAAAATAGACAGGAAAGTCCATAAAAATGCACTGTTCCTATATATGTTCCAATTGTCAGCATCATGGAGAATAACTGGATATTTACAGAAACATACCCAGAATGTTTTGCGGTACTCTTTTCTTAAAAGCTGGGAAAATCTTTTACTTATGTACATGAGATAGAAAAATAAATTAGATGATACCTAATTGATTCACAATTTAATAGCCTTAAAGATGGGAACAGTCAGATAAGACCAAGTTAAGTAAGTGCTGGAAGCTGAATACAAAACAATAATAATAATAATGACACACTCTTGAAAACCCTGCCACTCTAAATACAAAATCTGTGCGTTAATCTTTCCTTTCCAGCTAGTGTTTGGAGCATCTCTCATTCAGACCTCATAGTCAAAATGAGGATCTCGTATGTCTTATCTAAGGAAGCCATTAAAAGCCATATGTTTCACTTGTCAAAGTGGCAGACATTATGCATGGCATCCAATACAAAGTGACTTGACACCTGATGGCAAGGTAAGGCACAGCATTTCCTGGAACTCAGAAGTGCTCAAGACCTGCAGGGGCTTTCTAACTGCAGACTCAAGTTCTCAAGAATTCTTTGAAGAGGACAAACTCTGAAATGATTTTTTTTTTTTTAAACATAAAAAATGTTTTCCTTAAATTCAAACTAGAAGTACATGAGCTAGCCAAGTTCTTTACTTTCCTCTCATCAATGGGATGAAAGGAATAGTGTATGAGACTGGCATTTTATTTACACCTGAAACATTGCAATACATTCTAGTAATTCTTCAGCATCTAATCTCTGACAACAATGTTAACTTTGTGCCTCAAAGAAATTCTAGCAACTATGATGACAATTAGCTCAAACGTTTTTTGTTCATCTATCATTTCTATAGCTTTCCCAGGGTTTATTCATTTGCACAAACACTTCTCAAAGTCTAATAATCCTAAAGGGAAACTAAGTCATGTACAGTAAAATTTAAAATAATTTTATAACATGTGGTCAAACTATCTTAAAACCATTTCAGCTTTTAAGGATCAGCTGTAAAGTAAAACAATACTCATCTTCCTTAGATTCAGCCTCAACTTGAATTAAAATAGTAAGTTCTTTCCACCAAGAGAAGGCAGTGAGACTCATGTGTGAACATTTACTTCTCCCTCAGTTACCTGCTGGTAGGAACCACCTTGCTCAGAAAGGCATGTGGGAATGCCAGTTTTCAGAAACAGTCACCTGAAACGCACATGTGATGAGGCGCCCCAAAGCACAACAGAAGAAATCGCGCGTTAAGGTGCTTGTATGTATATGCAGCACAAACAGGCACTCTGAAGAGTCCTTTTCTTTGCTATGTTACGTACTGAAAGGTTACCCCTAGGGAGGAGCTACAGCACGCATTTGGCAGTTCAACTTCTGTAGTGCAGTTGGTTACTTTAGTAAAATCACCTTTTACGAGTGATTTAGGCTTAAAATAGACATACCTAAAAAATGTTCTATTATTGTTCACATTTGCTAAAAATACTTTGATTGCTTTTATGACAGGCCACTGCTAAGTATGCGTGAGAGTTTCTCTCTAGCGCTGAAGTTTAATAAAAACAAATGCAACAGAAATACTAAACGGTGTCACAGACTTTGAACTCCCACTGCGTTACCCTTCCACCATCCAGAGCTCTTCCCTTCAAAACAGAGCACACAATTTCTGCACATTCAGCTGTTACAAACTCTAAATTAATCCACATCTCAGCTGTACCAGTTTCAACTAAAAAATATATAGCACCATCTAAAGGCAAAATCCTGAATCACATAGCCAGAGTTCGATCTACCTGCAGTCCTTGGCCAGGGAGCGGGGAGTGAACATTTCCTCCTGTATTTAGTGCTATACATTCTTTCAACATAACAGCCACTTTTCAACACTTTGAGAACATTTTGCAAAAAGAGCTCAAAAGAGTTTATAGAACGGTGTGTGTTCTTATTCTGAGATGCAAAAGTATATCTAATTTTTTTGATATCTCATTTTCATTGAAGTCACTTAACATCCCGAAGTATTTTAGCATAGATTACTGTCACACACAATCAATACTTACTTCAGTCAACCACGGGGGTGTTACACTACACTGAGAGGCAATTGCTAAGACAGAGGAGCGAGTAGTCCAAGAATGGGAGATAACTGAACACTTTTTTTGTGTTGAGGAAGATTTTTTGTATTACAATTAATCCTATTACATTGATGTTTCTAAGTCTGCAGATATGTTTAATTAGCGCATAGTATATTCCGACTCACTGTGTCTTTCCCATTCTACTTCTATTCAGCAATGCTCAGCAAGATATTGAACATGCCCAACAAAATTAGGAGCATATGCATTGGTGAGAACTCAAATATACTTAGTAAACTCTCACTGTAGAATTGTTTTTACCTTAACTTGCTCATTGGAAGTCACAGCACAGAAAACAATCTCCGTAAATCCTTGAGATGGGAACATCCGGAAGCAGATACCACCAATAACACGACCATCTTTTATTAATGCAAGGGTCTTGTGTTTTCTGAGTAGACAAAAATAACAGTCACTTTAGTTCATGCAAGTAGCATAGATGTGTCCATACCCTCCTTATTTCAGAAACTTTATTCACTTCTTTCTGTAACGCTAATGCAATTGTACCATCCTCTGTTGAGTGTGCTGCTTGTATCTACAGAAGAGTTACTATTTACACCTGTTACTACAGGTGTTACTGGACAGTAACACTGTTACTACAGGAGTTACTACATCATGCTTTGAATTTACCATAAAATTCATCATTAACTTTGTCTTTTAATAACAATAGTGCAATAAAGTCCTGGCCTTGCCAGATACTCCTAGGGTAATACCAATAAAGAAAGAGTTATATTGCTTTCATTGACCCTGCTGCTGACAGCTATACCATTGCACAGTTCTCAGAATGATTTTACCCTAAATTAGAAATTCATGGAGCTGCAGGACAGAAAGCCCTCTCTAAGAGATTCCTACACTCTGTATAGCAATTAGTTTCCAATAAGCAAGAAATTATATTTTGTATTTCTAATCATCCATTTCTAGTGGAATCAAGACCGGAATAAATGTCCATTTCTGCTGCACTTATATTGATTGCTGGGAAAGATGTAATGAAGTGTGATCTAAACTGCTAAGGGATCAAGAATTTTACTGTTATCCCCAAGGTCTGGAAAGACTTATGCTGCACCTGTTTTCTAGCTTACTCAAAACACATTATTCTTTAGATTATATAAATAATAAAGAAAATTTACAGCAGTTTATGTTTGGGACAGGGATCGGTGCCAAAAGTGAGCCCCTTCCAAAAAGGGCAGCCCAAAGAGAAGCTACATTTTATGTGTCACTACTGAATGAGATTCTATAAGAAATTTCTTTTGCTGTTATTAATCAGGACTAATTGCCTACACTTGTTCTTATTGTTCTTATATTTATTTTGATGCTTTTTATCTGTGGAATGACAGTGGCAAAATAATAGCTTGTACTTTTAATTTTATTCCCTCATGTCCGAGTTGTTCATTTCTGAGTTGTTCATAACATTCAGCGAGGATGGTCACTTTGGAAAGAAGAGCATCACAGATGGTAATAAGTAAGGTAACAGCTGAAAGAAACAGAAAGAGTACTGCTGCACTCTTACTCCCCCATAACATAGGGCTACGTGTACTGCTACTCAGTGTAGGTCTCCAATGTGTGCCCCTGGAAATTTGTGGCAGATACCTGAGTTCTCCAAGCTGTCCATCTGCTTTGTTTCCTCTGGGTGAACTTTTTGCTAAAGGGCATAAAAAGGGGCATTTTCTTGCTCTGGCAATATCCATACCTCTTTCTCAAGCAGGGACCTCTCTCCAGACAGATATCTAAACTGAAGAGTGCTTTAACTCTCAGCAGTTCCTCTCAGCCTACTAAGTGGTAGTCCCTTCCAAAAAAGGGAAGGCCTCAAGAAACATGACAGAAGGCCATAGCTCAGTACCCATGACTTCACTATTTGTTTTAATGCTTGGTTGTTGGGGAACCTGGATTTTTCAATCAGTAGCCTCTGGTTGCAACCACAGCACTGTTAATGCTCCTAAACCCAAAAAAGATCCCAGGGCTGCCTCCTCCTCTCCCAGCCAAGCAATACTCATCCCACACAGGCAAGGCAAAAGAGTCTATGGATTGGTGCTGGCCCTCATGCAAGCAGTGCTGTCCCCATTTGAGGGACCTAGGAGATGTCTCCAAGATCAGTTTCCTGTGCCGTGAGACCAGCGTCCCATCCAGTCGTCCCCAGCACTGGGCTTCTTGTGCTTCAGGGAACAGATGGACCTAGCAACTAGAGTTTGTTGGCATGAGGCAGTATCACAGAGGGGAAACGCTAGCAAGCCTAACAGCGAAGGAAACTGTTCCAGTATTGCTTTCAGAAGTGCTGCTGCTAACATACTGGGCACACAGTCTGGCATCACCGGTGGCGGAGGCAGCGTTCTTCCACAAACTGGGCCGAGCAGCTGGCTGAGGTTAGCTCAGTCAGAGCTCACCTTGACTCCTCCGCCAAGATGCAATGAGCCTACAGGCATGTTCCACTGTGAAGTGCTGGAGTCTGCTATCCTTGGCTGTGGATCAGAGTCAGAAATTTTGGGAGAGCATACTGGTTGAGAGTAAACAGGCTTTGCAGGATGTTCAGCAGCAAAGAGTGGAGACTTCAGAGAAGAACACAAAGGAAGTGTCAGGGCAAGAAAGAGCCTCAGTGTATTGAGCAAAGAGGAGAGGACTGATACCTGACAATCTCTACACCAAAAAGCAGTAAAATCAATAGCAAAAAAATATTTTAAATATAAGTAAAAAAATATATATATAACATTAAAGCTAGAGGGAAGATGACATCAGAAAGGGCAGAGCTTAAATATCTGTGAACCTAGCAAAAGAACCTCCCTTCTTGAGCAGCTGAGGCACAGACCAATCAGGACACTAAGGGTGGCAGAAGTCCAAGTGTACCCTGTGGGTGCTGCTACAGTCAAAGTGTCTCTTTGCAAGTGCCTGTGGTGTACAGTTGCATCCAAGGCAAGAAAGGCAATATATACTATTTAAGTCATAGTGATCTCCACAGACAGAGGGCAGAGCAGTCTACAAGTCAGTAGAGGTCCAAAAACCACTAACAGGCACCACAATTCTCTTCTGATTTTCAGTTCAAATACCCAGTAGTATAATACGTAAAGAGCCTTCTTTAGGCCCCCTTCCCACACTAACAATCCACTTATCATTAATACAGATACCTAGGTGGTAATCAGGTATGCTCCAAATGGTCAGGAGTTACAGGGGCTTGAAAAGATGCGAAAAGGGTGGCATGTGCAGAGCTCCCCTGCACATCACCTTAGCAGCCCAATTCTACACCGCTCCCTGCAGCAACCATCAGGTGCTCCGTTTAACTCGCCCATGAAATTCCTCTCAAAAGGTACTCACGGATCAAAGACCAAGCGTGTGATATACTCCTTTGGCATCCTGGGTAGCTGATGGGAGAACACATTCTGTAAACCAACTAGCCACATCATGATCTTTTTGTTTGGCTTCTGGTTCAGGGAATTTCCCACCACGTGGAATTCAATCACTCCTCTGCGCTCCTCCAACCTTGCCGCTTCATCTCGGGCTGAGTGCGCTGAGAGGAAATTAGTCTGCATCATACAAAAATGAAACAAAAACATATTTTGGAGATTTCATAGCCTCTGACAGAACAGCCTTAAAAAACAAACAAAAATCCTCTTTATCCAAGTTATCTTTTTATAAAAATAGACAGCATTGCCTTTGATCTACTTCTTTCTTTTTTTTTTTTTTTTAAAGATAAAGTGACACCATCAAATAAGCTGGCTGTAAGTCTACACTGCAGTATGCATAGGCGTACACAAGCTTGTTTTAGTAAAGATAAGATGACAACACTGATGGTATGACTATATGACCGAACAAGTGACAAAACCCCATGGAGGACAACACTTATGCAGTTGAAGCTCATGCCAGTGTATCTTCACAATTTCTTTGATCTAGCTGGTTTGTACAAGAGTAATAGTGGATTTGCTTATACATATTGCAAACCACAGATGTTAATGGCAGTGCAAGTACAGTCATATTTTTTTTCATTTTAGTAGTGCTTTCCACTATGTACACAACTATCTTAAGAACCTGAAAAGAATATTTTAATTCCTACTGATTTTGCCGCTGTATTTCTGGCAATTGCATGCATATATCTGAATGGAGATGAAATTAACATAGAGAGTTTATGTAACTTTTTTCAACATTGTTTTACAATGCCAAAACATATCTGCATGCATGCTGGCATCACCAAGTCTGGCAACAGAATCTTTTCTAACTACTGCTATACAAATTTTAAAAAGCATTTTTAAACAGTTATAAGTTTGGTTACTTTTTAAGAAATTGTTGCAGCATAGTACTGATTAAAATAGATAAATAAAGTTCTTCTGTTACCTACACCAAGTAATCTTGAAGACCTTATTAGATTCCCCTAACCTCAAAGAAACTGAACTACAGTTATTAGCTATCAAAATATCTCCATTATATTCTATATAAATTTCAGAAAGTAAGATAAGTATATAGAGACATGAAAATTAATTAATTCCAGTTAATTCACTACACCCACAGACCTCCCCCAACGACAGGTTTTCCCAAAGTAATACTTATTCTGCAGGTGGTGAGGCTCACTTTCACATACTGTTTTCTTTCTAGAGCAAAGTTTGGCTGCTGAGTATCTAGTCACTGCCAACCCCAACATCCAGACTGGCACAACATTTGTAACACACAGAGCCATCAGTCACGGTATGTAGTTTGAGCAAAATGTATGTCATTCCAAATCTTCAGCCTCTAGCTAAATCTTGGCAAACAAGCTGCTGACAAAACACAGGCTGGTGAAGGAAACAGAAGGAGGAAAAGCCAGCCAAAAAAATAAAAAATAAATAAAAGGGCAATTCCGTGCATGGCACAATTCTGCAATTCTGTTTGTTTTTCTCTCCCAGCTCAGGAAAGAGCAGTTGTGGAAGAAGTGGCAAATAACTGTTTAGATCATCCCTTCTGTATTATATAGAGGTTTTTAATTTGGACCTTTCAATCTGCTGCAAGGTATGCAGCCAAATTACCATGTCTTACACGCTACGCCTATGATTAACAATAAAAAAAATTAACAATAAAAAACAAGTGTATTATTGGTCTGTCCTGTAACAAAAATACCTTGAAAAATAACCTGGAATCTACTTCTTCACCAGCGCTAATCTCCAAGCCTCTTTGTAAACAATAGCCCACACATTAAAAAAAAAAAGTGGAACTATTCTTCATGCTAATGATGTACTTCATCGATATTTTTTCCACACCTAAATATTTCCCTTTTCGTACTGTTCTTACTGACAACATGGTAAGTTTTGTGGATTCATAGCTTATCTTACTCTATCCATGCGAAACATTTATTAAAAACAGACCATTTACAATGCCAGCTCTGTATATTTCTCACCTCTGGCCCCAGCATTGCAGCAGGATCTGTAATTGTTGACATTACTTCATTGATTAATTCAATAGGAATATCTCCTACAACCCTTGGCCTTTTAGAATCCTCCAGAGAATAAGGTTCATTATTCTTTCTCTTTTCCCCTATAAAACAAAAACCAGGACAAATTCAAAACAATGAAACTGTCACAGACAGTTTAATCATTCTATTCACAGAACAGGAGCGCCTAGGAACAAGGCAGAACACTACTGTGGAACAGTTTAAATGGTCTCAAATAAAACAGGAGGCTAATCACTTTCTTAATTAACTGTTTTCTAATAAAGAATGAAGATCTGAAGTTCTTTTTTTGATTCAAAAGTCAATTTACAACTTAAATGCTAATATGCAACCAAATCTGCTAGTATGCCTGCAGAATGTATTAACGTATTTGGTCTTCAGTTCTTTTTCTCCCAACAAGGCAAAGACACTTAGTTTGTGGGACACAGTGTCTCTCCAAAGGAAACAGGGAAAGAATGCCTGTTACCAGTTATTTCATATTCTGCTCTTTGTAAAAAGCGTACAATCAAATAAAAAGTAGAAGACATAAGCAAGAATAAAACAGCAAGATTAGATGAAGGTGTTTCTGTAAAGTACAATATTGAAACAAACACGACAGCAAATAAAAATAATGAAACTGATTCATTCACCCTACTCATTTGAGTGCTTTAACAAAACAAAAATTCACTTTTCAAAGTTTCTTAAATTGAGGCCAAATTGTCACTACAAAGTTCTATTGGTAGATAATAACAGCACACAGTGTGAAAAATTCTCTTAGTTGACACAATTATACTGGCAAATCTCTTATTGGCAAGATCATGAAATGGCGTCAAAACAGACTTTTTGCTCATTCATGTGTACTGCTGTACGCACAATATTGAAAATATTTCCCTTTGCATAAAACTGTCCTATATTAATAAGTCATCCTGTATTGCTAACTCTAGCGTGGATACAACATATGGTAGGCTACTAAGAGAAACACTTTCAACTCAACACACATTTAACATGCACAATCTATCAGATTAATATACCTCTCCTTGTCCCATACAAGCTTTGTAAACTCATATTGAAATCATTTGCTTCTCTTTTCACTTCAGCATCCTCTACAGGGAACTTCTGTGCTGCTGTCTCAGAAGATCAGTACTCAACACATGTTACAGTGCATACTGCTGAATAACATGAAATCCCATTCTGGGATCTGCTGGAATTAAGTACCCATTACAGATTTTTTTCACTCTTTTTGTAAGCCAAGCAACATATACACTCTGACATGTCATATGTAGCTGACTTAGAGAATCCATGATATTAAGTTCCCAAATCAAAATACATCACATAAATTAACAGCTGCATTACTAACTGCAGATCAGTAAGTTAAATAATAAAAGTAACCAGTTAAACAAATGCATGAAAGAAAGGTCCATCAAGGACTATTAAGTGCAATAATAATGACAGAGCCAGCTGCTAGCTCAGGATTTATTCAAATTGCAGACTGTCAAACTCTTTAAAAAAAAAAAAAATACACGAACAGCAATCTCACTCTATAGTTTCCTTGTCCATATATTCTTCCCCTAAAGATCTGCTACTAGCCATTGTCAGAGCCAGGATACAGACTTCTGCCTTTGTGACCACCACTTAGCAGTGAGCTAAGCTTTGGTTCCTAAGGAATAGCCACAGTAAAAATCAAGATCTCCCTTTTGAAACAAGCAGATATTTTAAGGCCCACTATTGTTCATCCACTGCACAGTTTTTTTCCCCTTACAGGTAGTGAACTCTAACTATGTGAAGATCAAATTGTTCACTCACTTTTTTAGACTTTCAAGCAGTACATTGTTTTCGCAACAGTATAATTTTATTCTTAGTCTCCCTTCATTGTGAAAACTGTTTATTCCTGTTCTTTACTTTCTATCTTTTAACTAGTTATTGATATATAAAGGGACCTTTCTTCTTATTTCACAAGGGATTTAAGGGATTTTTTTTTTTTAATCAGATTTTATTGAAGCAATTTGCCTAAAGCTTTCTGGAAATCCAGGTACACAATGTCATTTAAAACCCTAATCCAAATGCTCACCAGTTCCTTCACAGATTTGTACAGTTCCTGAGTTCTACAAAAGACACTGAATTTCTGCACACCATATTACTCATACCTCTACTGATTCACTCTTAATCATTTTTTATTTTTTCTTCTAATTGCCTGAAATAGGAGGCTTATTGATAGTTTCTCAAATTCTCTTAGAACCCCACTAAAAACTAGTTTTGCATCTGTGATATTTCATTTCTCTACTGCTGAGCGCAATTTAAATGACAGCTCAGCTGCACAACTTAATAATTAGTTGGCCAGTTTCATATTTCTTTTAATACTCTCACAAAAATATCATTTTTTTCTGGTGACTACTTACTATTCATTTTGCTGATCTGTAATAAGAACTCTTCTGTTCATTCCCACTTTTTAAGACCATTCACCAACTTGTCCTCCATAAAGAAAGCTCCAGTTTAGGGGCCTCCTTAAGTTCTTTTGTAGTGAATCTAGAGACTAAGAATTCTTTTAAGCTTTTTCTTCTTCCTCAAGCACTTACTTTACAAGAGTCCAAGATCATGTTTCCGATCTACAAATGCTCTTGACAGGTTCATGAGTTCTGAAGTGCTTGGAAAAGTAGCGATTAGGATGATTTACGCATTCAGCAACTTTTCCACTAAAACTCTTTTTTAACCTGACCTCAGTTAGACTAAATTTAAAACTAGTTGTGTGTTCTTTTCTTGATCTTTCATAAGGTTGCAATTTCAACACCTTGAAAGATTTTTTAAAAAGTAACATTTGCCATTTTTTTTTCTTTTTTTTAGACATAACCTTTTTTCATGGGTGGTAACACATTTACCCACGTAAGGTAAAGTGCTTTCCCACAACATTTGTGTCATGTGGAGACCTTTCCCATTTTAATTGCATTTAAATAAGCTGACTATTTTTTAAATATAAGTCCTATTTCTACTATTTAAACATTGCCACAGTGGAGAAAAAGGATGCGCATGTGTGTCTTCGCAAAAAGACCTCAAAGTCGCTATTGCACAGTGAACACAATTGATTACCATCATACAGTAACTACTGATAACATTGACAGAAGCCAAAATGTGAGTCTCCCTCTCCATTACCTAGGTTGGGGTCAAGGACAGAAGAAACTTTGCAAGCAGGACTCATATTTCCACTGTTGGGTTGCTCCAAAGATGAAGGACTTGCAGTGTATGAAACAGATCTTGCAACAGGAGGAGGACTGATAACTGCAATGGCATAAAAGAAAGATTCAGGACAAGGAATTCAGTATGGTGCTGGCTGAACCACTGTCACCACTACGGACCCAAGTCCACAGCCATCCACTGCAAAGTGACAGATAACTTTGTGCAACAAAGCAATGCCACTGGTGGGCAAGCAGAGATACTTGAGCGTTATCTCAATGTATTTTTCTAAACTGTCACCTAATATGGGATTGTATTGACGGAGTTAATTGGTTGACAGAGTTAGTTTTACTTCATTGCAAATATCAGGCTTTATTGTTCTACAGTGCTGGGCACAAGTTAAGAAAAAAAATTCCTTCACATACCTGCCAAGCCAGCTGGTGTTCAGCCTTATCAAAGGACTTTTTGTAGGGGTCTATTGAAAAGTAAGAGCTCATCATTCAACCTCAGCTGTCCACTTAAACAGTGTTCAAAGACTGGCTGCACAAACCAAACTCAGTAAAAGGGGGCACCAGTTAAGAGGATGAAATTAGTCTTTCAAAAAGCCGCACACTGTCATCTCTCTCTCTCTCTCTCTAAATTAAAAAATAGAACAAAACAGAACAAACTCATCCCAAAATATCTAGCTTTCATCATTTGTGTCAGGACTTTGGAAGGCGGATAAGGTGCCAGCTCATAGTCTGAACACCTGCAGTCTTTCTCTTTGCACGTGTTTATCCTGATGGCATCACCAGCAACAGCTAGCCTCTCTGTTTGTGCTATTTTCATGCTGCGAATCTAGTGCCTGAGAGGAACACATTAAAAACTGAAGCACTGCTGAAGATTACATGATAGAACGAACGCTGTGAGTAAGATTATTTTAGAGTTGTAATGAACATGTGCCTAAGGCCAAATTCATCAGTTCATAAAGCAAACCAGGAATTTTTCACAAAAATCTGTAACTGTCACAGTGCAAGTTTTTCCACTACACCAGCAAATCCATTATCAGATAAAATGTCAGCATGACGATTTCATTAACTGATAATCAGCAGTCGTTACAAAACACGGAATTAAATTTCTCCAGTCTTCACTTCCCAGCACACCGAAAATTGAAGTCACAACTTCTGAGCTGTATGAACGGATTTTACATACAGTTGCACAGAAAGGAGAGTAAGAAGGAGAAAGTAAAAGAAAACTACACCATTGTCTTCCCGCAATTTTAACGATGACTTATAGACCTCTGAGGTACCCTAACTCTGAGGAAAAGTGATTAGAGCTGCAAAATAGCTGCTGAGGTACACACTGGTCATATGAATCAGAAACAATTCAAGGAAAAGTTCTTCAAAAACAAGAAAGTCAAAGGAATATGTGTAAAGGCAATGAGACAGCTGGTGCAGAGGATAATGTACTGCTAGGGAGTTGGAGAGAGAGCTTGGGACATCTTGCAAGGGACCAATGTCCAGCAAGTCACCCACATCAGCCATGTACTTGCTAATTATTCTCACTGTCCATATTCAGCGCACTTGCGCCACCTAAATACTAGGGTGAGATGCCTCAGCAGCCTGCTCTACACGCACATTTGTTTCATTATCAGAACATGCAGAAGCACCAGAGAGTCAAATATCTGTGCCCACTTGACGTGGGCCAATTTTAGTACAGCTTACTATATATAAAAGCTGCACATCTAAGTCTCCTTGCTCAGAATTTATCACTTGCACAGACACGTTGTAGTGGATTTTATACTCTCAGGTGTTCCCCAATCCTTTACTAAATACAAAGTACCTGTCTGGATTCCCAGTTGGCCAGTTCGGGATGTAGACACCATGAAATCCTGATCCCAAATGGGAGAATTCTGGCTGTACACTTCTTCTTCCAGCATTGACAGAAACCTAGGCACAAAAACATAGGAAATGTTAACATAATAGGATTGTTATTAGAAAAAAGAGAGTCAGATTAGACATTAAACGTCTATCTGGGTACAGTGCTTCTACCTATGAAAACTGATGTTTGATTATAAGCAATAATTATTGAATTTGAAAAGGCAGAAATGAGCAATTAGAAACTACTTTTACAGAACAAAAAAGAGCATTAACAAGAAAGAGTTCACAAATGGGAAGGTACTGATGTTATACAAGGATGACAAAAAAAGTCTGTTCATGCCGATAAACCCGTATTTGGCAGATGTACTTGCTTTCTGCCACTTACAGACTTACAAAATCCCAACAGTGTTAGTCATTAACAGTGCTCTTAGGAAGACATTTTCACTCCTTTAAATGCGCCACCATCACATTTAACTGCACATTAGGGCTTGCACGACAGTACTTTTAATTTTAGTTTGGTACACTTATAGAAACAGCATGATTTTAAACCTCTCTTAGCATTACACACGAGAGAAATCCCACAGATGGGAGGACGCAGCCTGCCTGCCTCCACAGGGCCAATACAGCGACTCCCTTTCAGGCGATCAGGGCACGATCGCTGCTTATCCTACTTTGCACAAAAGGGCTTCTCGGAGCAGAAGCTGACTTGACACATCTTTACCCTCTGGAGTCCTCTGCATGTACAGCAGCTGTCCAAATTAAATCAACAGGACCGCGGAGTAAGACTTTCCAAATACAGTAAGGACGTTCAGGAACAAGTCCTACTGTTGCGCGTCACATAAAGCACATTTATACCCAACCACAGCACGTGTGGTGTTAGCGGCTACCTA